TCACCTCTCCTGCACCTGGGGACTGAGCGGCCGTGCAGACAGGGCCACCCGGCAGGAGCTGTGACCTGGTGAGTGCAGGAAGAAGATGGGTGCGAGGCAGCCCTGCAGGGAGGGATCCAGGAACAAAGTCCCTTGACTTCCCACTCCTCCCACACCCACCTTCTGCTAGAACCGCCCCCCCCCCCCCCATTTGGAGCCAGAATCGGGAGAAGAGCCCATCGATACAACCCAAAAGGGCAGCCTCCTGGGTGTGGAGCATGAGAAGGGGAGAGTCAGCCTGGAGGGGCAGACAGGAGCCGGGCAGCACAGGGCAGGGCTTGGTATTGGTATCCATCTTCCGTAGTTACCACCTCCGACACTTGCTGTGGCTCCCCACTTCCTACAGAGGAAGGCCCACGTTGTCAGCCTGGCACTGCAGGCTCTTCACACCTCAGGCTCCAGCCTCCCTCCCCACCCGAGAGCCACAGGTGCTCCACACAGCAGCTCTGCACGAGGATGTACATCTCACCGTCATCAACATTTTACACAGAGACCCAGTTTGCCTGAGGTGACACAGCTGGCAAGTGATGGAGCTGCCAGGTGCCCTGCCACCAAAGCCGACGCTTACCCGTTCTGCCATCCTGAGTGCTGAGAACATCGACAGGAGAACCACAGGCAACTCGTCACAGGAAGGGTCTCAATAAAGGGGTGGGGAGAAGAAGTAAAAGGAAGGGAGGAGAAAGGAGTGCGAAAGATGAGCAGAACATATGCTGAGGTAGGTTCTCATCTTACTCTCATACCTGACAGAGCCAGGGTTTGACTAAAAAACCAGCTGGTTACCTGTCAGGCAGAGCCAGCTTCTGCAGAGTGGTGCGTGCAAGATTCTCAGTCCCTAGTTTTGACCCCAACCCAATGCTATGTCCCTCAGAGCACCTGAAATTGCCTCTGCCAACCACGACTTGGAGTTAGGCACACCTATAGAAGGCCCTTGTTAGAATGAAAATGTTAACTGGAAAGAGAAATACTGGGCTAATGGCATCAGGCCACTCTTACAGTTGTCAAAAGTGTGTGTGTGTGTGTGTGTTTTGAAGGCCCCAGGTGCCCAAATACTACAATTAGAGATCAACTTGTCCCCACCTGCTGAATGAAAGCAGAATGCTCAAAGCGTGGGACCAAGAGAAGTGAGACTTACTGGAAAGAATAAGGATGGAAGTCTGGAATCAGGGCGCAGGCCTGATGGGTCATTTGGAAGGCAGCACAAGAGAGGCAGCACGGTGCAGTGACAGAATTCTGGAGACGTGGGTTTGGCCCCGGGTTGTCCACTTGGCTTCCTTCTCCTCCCGGTAAAAAGAGGGGGGTTGGATGAGATGCTTACATCCTGTTCCAAGACCCCGTGACCCCACAAAAGGCCCCCTTTCCCTTTTGTCAGCAGCTGAGAGACACCGGAGTGGGGCTCCCTCTGTCCATGCTCCCCCACTTCAGCTGGACAGAATCAGGATGGCTGCAGCAGACACTGCTGGGTGAATTCTAGGAGACTCCTCCATTGAGACCCCATATCCTGTGCCCGTGACGGGCCTGCTCCGAGGTGGCCTGTCTGCCCACAGCCGTGTCTCCCACCAGCACGGTTAATTTGCTGCTGCTCCTGGGAAGTGGCAGCAACTTGACGCAAAGTAATTAGGATGAAAAAGAGGCCCAGCTGCTTGGGGCCAAAGGAAAATAAACAGACCAGCCCTGTGTGTATTCCACCGCCAAGAGCAGCAATTCTTCACAGGGTGATTACCACTTCCAGCTCCAGCCTCCTCCCCTCCACAGACGGCAGAGAAGTGGCCTACCAGCTGCTGCTGCTCCCCGACCCCACTCTTCTGACAGGGAACCTGGCAGCCCAGCACCTCCTCAGGAAGGTCTCCCTCATTACCTGGCCCCCTACCCCTGCAGAAATGAAATCTACCAGTCTCCGGGTTTTTCCTTTGGTTGATTGACCAATTCATTCATTCTTCTGACATCCATTGAGAGCCATTCATTCGTTAAATATTTATTGAGCCCCTATGTTCCAGTCACTGTTCTGGGTCCTGGCTGGTATAGCAATGAACAAACGGAAAAATCTGTGCCCTCATCAAGCTCCATTTTAGTAGGAGGAACAGACACTAAACAAGTAAAAATATAGCATGGTTGCCCTAGCTGCTTTGGCTCAGTAGATAAAGGGCCAGCCTGTGGACTGAAGAGTCCCAGGTTTGATTCCTGTCAAGGGCACAAGCCCCAGTTACAGGCTTGATCCCCAGTCGGGGATATGCAGGAGGCAGCTAATCAATGATTCCCTCTTATCATTGATGTTTCTATATCTCTCTCCCTCTTCATTCCTCTCTTAAATCAATAAAATATATATTAAAAAATATATATATAGCATGGTAGACAATGCTAAATGCTATGGAAGAAAGAGAAGCCATAAAGAGGAGTATGGAATGTAGAGAAAGAAGAGGTAGATTTTAAAGGAGGGTGGTCAGGAAATGAAAGTGACATCTAAGCAAAGACCTGCAGGAAGTGGGGGTGAGCCAGGCAACCAGTGAGGGAGGTGTGCCCGGCAGAGGGACACCGTGCAAAGGCCCTGAGGTGTGCCCGTGTTCAGTGAGGCTGGGGGCGAAGGGTAAGAGAAGTCAGAAAGGAAATGGACTTTGGTTTTTTACTCATGTGAGCAGAGGCAACAGGACTGGCTGGCATTTCATTCTGGCTGCCATGTGAGCAGACTGAAGGGAGACCAGCAGGGAAGCAGGCCCTGGGTGAAGTGTGAGAAGGTCTGGCTTCTCCTGCCTCTGTCACCAGGCTACATAAGCAGAACAGGATAACTTCCAGGGAGAGGAAAGCTTGGGGTGCAGGACATCCAGACATTAACTCTCTGGGTCAAGGAGAGAGAGAGAGAGGGAGCGAGCGCGCGTACAACCGGAGAGAGCTGCAGGGAGTTGGGCTGCAGGGCTGTCATGGAGGTTCAGGAAAACACTCCTTGCTGCATGGCACACACGTGTGCCACATATACTAGTACCGTGGTCGCCAAATTGCGGCTCGCGAGCCACATGCTGCTCTTTGCCCCCTTGAGTGTGGCTCTTCCACAAAATACCACGGCCTAGGCGAGTCTATTTTGAAGAAGTGGCATTAGAAGTTTAAGTTTTAAAAATTTGGCTCTCAAAAGAAATTTCAATCATTGATGACATATACACATAAGGAACTGTTTGACATTGAAATTGGGTCTCAAAAGAACTGTTAGCCCAGAAAGAAACTCACTACAGACTGATTCATATGCCTTTCAGCATAACCATTATTGCTTGTCTCATTTTCGATTCTTATATTTCCAGTAGGACATGATTTCACTCATCTAGGGGAAATGGTGAACAGCATAGACTGATGAACAAGAACAGACCCAGAGATAAGGAGCCATGGGTCAGACTGTTGGACCCCAAAGGGAGGGTGGGGATAAAAGGGAGAGACCAACCAAAGGACTTGTGTGCCTAACCAGTGGTCAAGGACAATAGGGGAGGTGGGGGCATGAGTGGGAAGGGGTGGGGGATTGGGATGGGGGGTTGAGGACAAATATGTGATACCTTAATCAATAAAGAAATTAAAAAATAATAAATTTTAAAAAAGAAATTTCAATCGTTGCACTGTTGACATTTGGCTTTGTTAACTAATGAGTTTGCTGACCACTGTACCAGATCTCTCTGGGATAACAGATTTCTCATCGTGGGCCTCTGGGCTGGGGCAGAGGGATTTCTGTACCTGCAAACTAGGCACGGGGACAATCCTTGCCAAGTATGTCAGGTTGTGGGAGGAACACGAAGTCTGACCTTTGGGGCCAGAGTGGACGATGGGCCATTATGGAAACTTCCCCGAGAGGGAGTCTCTGTGATAGTGCAAACAACCCAGGGCCTCCACCAGGCACTGACACTCTTGTGAAGTGGGCCATTAGTCTCCCAGCTAGATCCTAAGGCTGAAGAACCCAGGACAGTTAATGTTCCTCTTGGAGGAGGAGGAAAAGGGCTGGGTCCAGCAAAATGGATGAACTCCTCAAAGTAGAGGTGCTGAGAGAAGGTAATGGAGGGGAGTGTTAAGGAGACAGGCAGAAACACCCCGTCCATCTTAGAATGTCAGCCAAGCAAGAAGGCAACAACAGAAAATAAGCGTGTGGTCCTGGGTTCAAAGCTGGGCTCTGCTACTTCCTAGATGTGTCTCTTCCAATCTCATACCTTTGGGTGTTTTGGGTTATTTTTCTTCCTTCTTCTTTAAGAAGGGAGTAGGAGTGTTGGTGAGATGTCTATCACTAAAAAATTCTTACAAAGCTTAAATAAGTCAACTGTGGGAAAGCTGTAAACATTGCATTGTTACTATGCACACAAGACAGCCCAGAAAGGGCTGCTCTGGATCAAGGAACAACCAAATCTCAGGAGCCAGCAGGCCCCATCTGGGCTGGCCCATGCAGCCAGCTGCAAAAGCTGACCAACACAAGGCTCTGTGGATCGAGAGCAAATGAGCTGACAGATCTTGAGATTGCAAGTCTCAGGGTCGTGAGCCCTGGACTGAGCAGAGATCACTGTGTTAAGTAGGCAAAAGGAGGACTGTGTGTCCTTTCAATGTTATCCTGGGCAGAATTGAAGAGCTAAGAGTTACACAAGTCTCTAGGACAGTGGTCGGCAAACTCATTAGTCAGCAGAGCCAAATATCAACAGTACAACAATTGATATTTCTTTTGAGAGCTGAAAATAGACTTCTATGCATGGGCCATGAAGTTTCAATCGCACTGTACACGCATGCCTGCATGTGGTATTTTGTGGGAGCCACACTCAAGGGGCCAAAGAGCAGCATGTGGCTTGGGAGCCGCAGTTTGCCAATCACCGCTCTAGGGGAATGTACTTTGCTTTTATAGTTTACTACTGATCAGTGTCCTGGCTTTGAGAACTTACATGCTACTATGCATTTGCATGTACAAATATGTATAAGCATGTATGTGAAGATGCAAAGGATTTTAGTCCAGTAGAGAACCACACAATTTATGGTTTTATTGACTTGTAAGACATTAACCAGTTTCATTTCTTACCTTAGCAAACTTACTTCAGTATGTCTTTCCCAACTAGATATACAAATCTCTGCATCTCAAATGCTCCTTGGAGAAACCTACCATTCCTCTGGTTCCCTTCTTAAAAGAGTTAAGTAAGTCTTGGATAAAAGTTATGCTTTGACAAAACCCCAAAATGAGGACTCTGCCATACTTTGGCATGGGCCAGTGGCTGTGGGCCAGCCAATCAGCCTCTGAGACTCACATATCGCATCTGCCACAGGGAGAAGGCACCCGACTCCAAGACTGAGGTAGGGCTGCAGTGAGGAGAGGGATGGGAAGGTACATCATTCACAGGATGCAGAAGGCAGGACTCATTGTTATGACTCATCACATTAGGCTACTCCAGGGCTAGAAGGTCCCAGCCTCTGAGGGCTGCCTTCTCCCAGGCTTGGGACACAAACCAGGGGAAAGGCAGGTAGGGCAGTTCTGATGCTAGACTCCGTGTGCAGATGCTGCATTCTCCACTTGTGATGAGGCCAGGATTTCCCATGGGCCTCGGGTCCTGGAGGATGGAGACCTTTCAGGACCACACAGGGGCATGGAAAGGATGGAGGACTGGAGTGCGAATCTGACCAGGAGCCAGGGTGGGGTATTCTAAAGGAGGGACAAGTGTCTTCAACCAACACCAGGTCCCTAACTAGTGGCCTCTGTAGCCTGTCAGAACCTCATCATATTATTTTGTGGGTAGGAAAGTGCCCAGCTCAACTGACAGCACAATAGGATCTCTACCCTTGCTATCTGCATACTTGTGTGGCTGTACACGCACATGCAAACACACACACATACAGAGAATGATGTCAGTCAGGGGTCCAATAAGCAATGTAGGCGGCTAAGGTCAACAACAGCCAACCCTGCACAGAAGAAGGGAGCACAGAGCCAACAGAAAAAGAGAAGAAGAGGAAAGGCATTCCAGGCCCAGAGAACAGCAGGGGCAGAGGCTGGAAGGCAGAATTAACCTGCAGAATGTGGGGAAGGATAAGATGAGGCCATCAGAACTGGCCCGAGTGTCCTGTAATCAGGGAAGTTAATAATCCACTGACCCTGTGGTAATTGTAAAAAGGAAGTGGACAAGGGCTTCCAACTGGGTTCTCCCCTGCAGGGCCACACCCCGTAAGGGGTATGAGAACCCCCTTTTTCCTCATAGGTCTCACTCCAGGTTCAGTTCAGTTATTGTCTCTATAAGCCAGCCCAGCCTTGCCCCATCCTGGAATGCCTTCATTGGTAGCTGTTCTGCCTTAAACCCTGGGTTCACAGACTCATATGAACCTCCCCTTTCATTAGCTAATTATCCCAAATATTTCCTCATAGTTAGTGTACCCTCCTTCCTGGAGTTAGTACTTTTCCTCTCCCTATTTTCCTTTGCCCTGATTTCCTTGGTACTTTGTTTTTTATATATTGGGGGTGGGGGTGGGGGGCAGGAGTTTGTTTTTGCACGTTGCCTTCAACCCTTTGTGGACCAAGACACAAGTATGTTTAAGCCTTTTGTTGTCCTGTCAATGTTCTGTTAAGACGAATTGTTTTGGACAAAATTCTAAGCTTTGTGGACCCCTGTCTGGCAACTACAGATTACATTAGGGCAAGCACTATGCAGGGCCCACAGTAATTGCCTAATTCTTGCCTCGTGATTGGCAGTTTAACATTACTTAACTCACTCCTAGCCATGCTCAATTACTGGTCCATCATTCACCTACAAGCCTAGGTGATAAAAATCCCACTCTCCTGCCCTTTCCACTGACCCCCAGCTCTCAGAAAAGCTCAAATAATTTGAGGGCTCACACCCCAGCATTGCTCCCTGAGTTTCTTGGACATGTACACACCACCAAAAGACATGCGATTTAGACCTCGCAATCAGAGAGAGAGAGAGAGACGTTCCCTGCCCAACTAAGGCCGGCCTCGTAGACTCAGCCACAGCCCAGGGAAGACTCAGGAGGTCGTCCCCTCCTAAAGCCAGGGGTCACAGTTCGGGCGTTGTTAAGGCCACAGGCCCCGGAGCACCGGGAGGCAGCCTCAGGAGAAAGGTCTGCAACGAGCCGGGCCGCGGGAAACCCGCCTTTTCCCTGAGCAGCCGCCACGTGCTGCCCTCGATGGCGTAGAGCAGCGTGAACATGCGGTTGACGGTGTAGACTGTGTCGCCGCGCACCACCGCCGTGAAGAGCGCCCCCTTGCTGTTGACGAACTGGCCGGGCAGCGCCGTCCACTGGCCCGTGGCCAGGTTGAGGCAGTCGATGGCGCAGTGCAGGAAGTCGTCCGACGGCCCGTTGCGCACCACGTAGAGGCTGTCGCGGTGGGCCACCATGTAGTGGCCGTAGCTCTGCGGCCGCTGCAGGTCGGCCACCGGCAGCCAGGCGTCGGCCCGCCCCGCGTACTCCACCACGGCCGTGGTGTCCGCCGGCCGCCACAGGCACACGAAGAGGCGCCCGCGCGCCTGGGCGCAGGGCACGCCGGCGGCCGGCTGCGGCAGGTCCGCCACGAAGCTCCAGCAGCCCGTGGCCGGGTCGTAGCGCTCCACGGAGCTCATGGCGGTCCTCTGGAACTCGCCGCCGATGGCGTAGAGGCGGCCGTCGAAGCCGGCCAGCGCCGTGTCGTAGCGCGGCTGGTGCGGGCTGGGGATCGCGCGCCACGTGCCGCCGTGGTCGTCGGGGTCGTAGCAGAAGCCCAGCTCCACCACCTCCTTGCTGGCGCCGCGCACGCCGCCCACGATGTAGAGCTTGTTGCCCAGCGTGGCCACGCCCGCCAGCAGCGTGCTGGCCTCCAGCGGCAGCGCGGCCAGCGTGCGCCACGCGTTCTCCTCCTCGTCCAGGTAGCACACGGTGCGCGACGCGTCCTCCAGGAAGCCCGGCGCCGGCGTGTGCGTGCTCACGGCCACGTAGCTGCTGGGCCGTAGCGCCGCCACGTAGGCGCGCGCCTCCGGCAGCGCCAGCTCGGCCGCCAGCTCGCGCGCACCGTCGCGGATGAAGAGCGCGGCGCTGTGGAACACGTCCCGCAGGCCGAAGGCGGCCGCCGCGTCGCACAGCGCCGCGCAGTTGTCGGACGTGAGGCTGTGCTCCAGGAAGCGCGCCAGCGCGGGCGCCTGCAGGAAGGCGGCGCACTCCACGGCCTGCAGCAGGTCGTCGGCCGCCTCCAGCGCCGGCCGCTCGCCGCGCAGCACCCGCAGCGCCGTGCGGAAGCCGCCGGGGCTCAGCGCGCCCAGGCGCACCTCGGCCGCGCGCGCCTCCCGCATGCCCGAGCGGAAGAGGCCGCGGAAGAAGCCGCAGTGCTCCACCAGCAGGGCCCGGTCGGCCTGGAAGAGCTGGCCGTCCACCCACACCTGCACCGGGACCTGCGGGCTTGGAAGCATGGCGAGCCGGAGGGCGGGGAGCCGCCGCTGGGGGGGACCTGGGTTCAGCGGCCACGGACTCTGGGGCTCCCCACCCCCGGAGCAGCGGCAAAACACTTCCCCGGGCTATAAATATATCCCTGGCTAAAGATAGGATGGCTCATGTGATGTGGCGGCTGGCTGGCAGGTTGTAGGGCCCTGCGCGCAGAGGGCATCAGAGACCTGCACGGTCACCCAGTCCCTCACGGGAAATGATAGGAGTGCCCACATACTGAGCATCCACCTGCGGCATGCTGGGCAGTGTGAGGGATGCTTACAAAGATATCCCGTTTAACCTGCACTACACCAGCGGTATGCTCTTCTGTAAGCAAGTGCCCTGCCGCCAGGCCCTCTGTTCCCTCAAAATGGGGCTAATAATAGCACCTCTTTCACGGTAAAGGTATCCCCTGCTTCTTTAAAGTTTGCTTTATGCCACTTCGCTTTCTTGAAAGACCCCCATTACTATCTGTTTCCCTAACTAAAAGATTATCTGAGGAGCAAAAATAGCGTTCAGTGTTTTGTAACCAGCCCTTGTAGGAGCAGCTGGTACCCTGAGCAGCAGCCAGAGTGGCCCCTCCAAGCTCCTTCCCTGGAATTACACTCTGCATCTCAACATCAACCCGTGTAACTCTACACTATGTCTGTGAGCATCTCTGCTTTCTTTATTTTCTGCATCCATTAGCAAGATAATGGCTTTTTTGCTTTTAGGCTATTTCGATTTGCAAAAGGTTTTGTAGGAACACTACTTTCAGATAGTTGGAACAATATCTGTAGTGTTCAGAATAAGGTTCAGAGACTATTCTGTGACTTGTTCAGGGTTATTCAACTGGGAAGAAGCAAGGACAGGATTAATACCTAGCCCACACCATCGGCTGGTGGGCATGGAGTGATTGGGCACTGGAGGGACAAGGCAGAGGTAGAACAAATAGGTGAGCCAGGCTGGGGTCTGGAGCAGAGTGCTAATCTGGTCTGGGCCCTGAGTCTGGCCTAGTCCAATCTCATTTTGAGCCTGGATTTTCTTCTCTAAAAATGGGAGGGTAGCACGTATCTAAAAAGCCCCTGAATGTGGAAATACTTCCTGACTTGGGTTGAGAATGGGAAGCTGATGTCTACTCCCCACTTGCCAGCACTCCTCCGCTTCTGTGTCTTTAAACCTTAGGAAAAGGAAAGTGGGGCTGCGTATCATGTATCTCTGGATGAGGAGAAGGGCTTCTTGAAATAATAATAGCACTTAAATTGCACTGTGTGTCAGACACTTTTGTAAGCACGTTAATTCCCATAATTATTGTAACAATCCTATGAGTAAATGCTATTATTTTTCTTTCGTTTAATAGTTAATTTTCTACTTATTGGTTATAGCAACACTATGACTTAATTTTTTATTTTTATTGATTTCAGAGAGAAAGGGAGAGGGAGAGAGAAACATTAATGATGACAGAGAATCATCAATCGGCTGCCTCCTGCACCCCCCCACCCCCACTGGGGATCGAGCCCACAACCCAGGCATGTGCCCTGATGGGGTTCATAGGTTGACACTCAACCATTGAGCCACACCAGCCGGGCAATTACATACTATTAATGGCCCCACTTCATAGACTAGGAGACTAAGGCACTAAGAGGTGGTCACATGCTTGAGGTCACATGGCTGGAAAGTGGCAGAACTAGGATTGGCATGCAGCCAGTCTGACTCTGGAGCATGTGCCCCTAGCCCCTGTGCCTGCTGTCTCTCTCTACTACAAATGCCAGGAGGTCACAATTGGAAGGAACCTCAGGCTCATAAGGCTCAACACCTTTATTAATAGTGGAAGATCAGAAAGAGAATTGCCCAGGGTCAATTAGCTTGGGGCAGACAGTCCCACGCCTCCTGCTGTCCAACCTTGTGGCAGTTTTCCCCCTGCACCGAACTTTCTTGTGTGACACCTAAGAGTCTGGGTCCCAAAATGTCAGTTGGAAGGGAGCTTAGTGATTATTTTATCCTGCCATCTCATTCTACTGGTGGGGAAACTGAGGCCCAGACCTGTGTAGGATGATACCTGCCATTCTGGAGATGTTCAGCTGCAGGACTACTTCAGGAGGATGGAGAGGCTCACAGTGACCAAGTGGGAGTTGGGAGGAGGCAGGAGAGTTTCCCTTCCCCAGGACACACGCACGCACAGACCCTCACGTACGGATCTGCAGAGCCAACACAAATGTGCCTCCCCTGCCAGGGAACTGCCACCCAGTTCCCTACATCAAAGCAGGTCTGGGATGTGGGGACCACTTTTGTGAGCCTGGGAAGCCAGAGGCCTGGAGGAGGCAGCCAGAAATATCCTAGATGCTCTGCCCTAGGGACCAGACAGGAAGAGGAAGTGGAGTTGGGGGGGGGGGGGGCAGGAGTCCCCATGAACACTATCCCAGGCCCTCTGCCAGCTTCTTTATTTCCCTGAGGCCAGTCACTGGCTGACAGGGAACATTGTGACCATCTCCCTGTTGGAAGAAAATAGACTCTGCAATGCCTGGTCTTCACTATCCTTGCTGGTGGGCTCGGGTGTAGGAAGTGGGTATCTGACTATTCCCATTTCACAGACGAGGAAAGGGAGGCCCGGAGATGGAATGGGCCTTTCCTTGATTATGAACAAAGTTGTGGGACTGGATTGGACCCTGTCCACGGATCCCAGGTCCCAGCCCAGCTGCCTCTCCTCACCAGCACTACTCGAGGATAGAAACTGCTGTCTCCAAGCTCAAGCTAAGAGGCGGGGCTGAGAAGGGGCTGACGCCCAGGAGGCCACAGTTTCCTCCCAAAAAGCCTGTTTCAGGTAGGTAGTAACTGGCAGACACAACCAGATGGAGCCATTGCCTGGACTGCTCCTGAGAACTTGGGGGGAAAGGAGAGCAAATCCCTCCTGGTTGAAGCTTGCTCCCAATCTCACATTTCCCCAAGTCCAGCCCCGGCTTGAGGGTGTTGGGACTCTGGTGCACACACACACCCTTTGGAGCCAGCAGTAGGGAGGGGTTCACCCAAGGTGGGGGTCATGGTTCTGAGGCTGGGCGGAGGATCAGGCCTTTGGCTCTGCCCCAAGACCCCAGTGGGGTGTTGTCTGCAGATGGTGAGTTTCCTCCCCCCAGGCAGTGAGCATCCCTCTGGGACTCGGAGAGGACAGGAATTATCCTGGCTGTGGGCAGCCCACGGAGTTCCCAGGCCCTGCCTGACCTCACACCAGCCTCCTCCTCCACTTTGCACCCCTAATGCTGTGCAAGGTTGGAGGTGGGGGAAATGAAAGGAGCTATGCGTCAGACTTCCTGGGGCTTTCTAGAGCATACGCCCAGTCTTTTTGTCCCTGTACAGAACGATTGGCCCACAGGAAGGGGTCTGTTACGTGGACTCCGGGCCCTAACCTAAGTAGGAGTCCCAGGCTGATGGAGGAGACATAGCTCTTGCCCTGGGAGGGGTCCCCACACTCTGATGGGGGACCCGTGGCCTTTGCAGCCCCTGGTGGTATTTCTACACACAGGGTAGTAAGGAACTCACCTGGACCTGGCAAAGGAAGAACACTGGACTAGGAATCAGTATTACTGCCAGGCTCCGATGCTGGGACTGGCACTGCTTTGATTTGCAAAAGCTACCCAACCCTCTCTGGGTCTCAGTTCTCCATCTGTAAAATGGAACTCTGGATCTGATTTCCAAGGTCAGTTCAGCTTTGACATCTGAGTTTATCATTGTACAACCACTGGAGAGGCTGCCATGTTGTCCCTCCAGAGAAGGCTGAGGCATCACAACAGGGTCTCGAAAGCTTAGCTTTATGTGGAATGGCTCCTGAGGGGTGGGTGGCAAGGGTAGGACCAGGCATCCAGGAATCCCCCCTGGCCTTCCCATCTAGATCTGCACATGCCCCACTCATCCCCTCCAGACACATCTCTTCTTAAAAATATATTTTTATTTATTTCAGAAAGGAAGGGAGAGGAAGAGAGAGATCGAAACATCAATGAAGAAAGAGAATCATTGATTGGCTGCCTCCTGCACACCCCCCATTGGGGATCAAGCCTGCAGCCCAGGCATGTGCCCTTTGGTTCAACCGGAATTGAACCCGGGACCCTCCAGTTGGCAGGCCGATGCTCTATCCACTGAGCCAAACCGGCTAAGGCCAGGCACACCTCTTGAGCACCTGCTGCATGCCCACTGCTAGGCTGGGCGCCACATCCTCTGTGCTTTGAGTGCATGAGGGCCTCCTGTAAGAAGCGCGGGGAGGGTGGGGCTCCTTGCCCTAGCAGGATGACCTCTCTCTTGACCCGAAGTCCAAACCTCTGGTCACTAAACAGTTTGGCTTGTTGGCAGGTGGGTGAGAAGTGTGTGCTATTCATGTCAGAGGGAGCAGAGGGAACTATCTTTTGCTTTTGGGGGCCATGGGTGGAGGACTCTTTCATGTTATCTCATCTAATCCTTACTATTACCCCTATTTTAAAGACGAGGAACTGAGGCTCAGAAAGGCAAAGGAGCTCATTCCAGGGTCTGACAGTAGCGGATTATTCCAAAGGGCTTTGCAGTCCGCCCTGACCCTCCTGGGTGCTGGACAAGCAGCCTGCAGAGAAGGGCCGTGAGGATGAGGAAAGGGACTGGGTGCAGTTGGGAGGTCTGCGCTGTCTTCCTCCCACGCCTCAGAGGAGGGGCTGACTTTGGCACTTAGCAGTCACAGCTGAGGGCCTGACTAACCAGCTGGCTACTGGTTCAAATCTCTGAACTGGAAGGGAATTAAGGATCATCTCATCTGATCCTTTGAGTCATGATGGAGTCTCCTCTACAATGCCTCCTTGAGTGACTCACTGCTTGGTTGTCTTCCATGTTGGGGGGCTTCAGAGAGTTAGAGCTCACCCTCACACTGAGCTAGTGGCACGCCTCCTTGCGGATCCCATCTACTTTGGATCCGAGTTTTAAAGAGAAGGAAAGTAACAGCTCCCGCCTCACACCAGCAGGGAAGTAGTGAAATGTACCCCTCGTTGGGTCTGTGGGTGTCCACAGCTTGCCCTCTCCCCGGGCACCCTCCAGTGAGACTGGTTCTCTTCCCACAGACCCCATTCAGAACCAGCCTGTCCTCACAGCCCAGGCATGTGCCTGGAACTTGGCTCCCACTTTTTCTCCTCCGAAAACTCAGGAACACCCTTGGCCGTTAGCTCTGTGAGGAATTCTGGCCCCAGGGTGTAATCTAAACAAATTTCTCCCAACACCTTTAGAGCCTTAATAACACAGCTGGTTTATTACCACAGCTCCCAGAAACACAGTTAAGCTGAGTCAGTATTTATGTCCTGTCCTGGGAAATAATTTTCCTTC